GTTTAGCCGGAGCCGCAATTTGTGTGGAGGGGTGTGCGTGTTGTTCGCGTTGGCCCTTAGCAATTGTGGCTGCAGATGGTATTGGTAGGCTTGCATTTTCACATGCCAATGACATAATCTTTTGTCTACCTCTGCACTCTGCCCCTGACATCACCAAAACAAATCGCAAAGCATCGAAAAGGAAGAGCAATGCGAAGCCACGTACAATGTACAGATGCAGCGGGCACGGCCCAAAATATTCGAGCTCGTCAATAGAATTAGAACGTGATAAAAAAATTCGGGCAAACGTACACCAGCATGGAAGTACGCCTCCCCTTTACTGCCCTTCTTTTTCCTTGATACTCCGTTTTCTTTTGCCTCGTCAAATACGCCTTGACTGTGTTGCCGTTTTTCCTAAATTTCAGAGCGTCTGACATTGAGGAATCTTTTGCTTTGCCTCCCTTTGTTGAGGCTTTACTGTCCTTTTGCTAGCCTCCTTGCCATTTCGCCATTTTAGCACAAGTCTCTCGGTTCATTCTTCGGTGTCATTTCGGTAGCCAGAAGCCGAGAACTGCTCTCCAGAAAGCAGGGCCAGCAAGGATGCATGCAACAGCGAGGTGAAAAATAGCACGGTGTAGACTATGCCACTCTCAGCTAGAAGGTGGCAAACCCACGTTTCTGGCTTTAAAAGCTCCTTTTTGCGTGTCCCTTATCTTTTGTGGCTTTTGGCGTCCGGACGCCTTACCAAAGTCGTATTTTTTTTTTCTTTTCTTGTCGTTTTAGCTGCTCCACGTATTCTCTCTTTTTGCGGAGAAAATTTGCACCTTTTAGAGTACGGCGTGGCAAAAGAAGGAAAAGAAAAATTCGATCAATCCACACAAAGACAGAGGAACAAAGAGACGAGGAAACCAAGCCCGACTCCCGCGACACGGTGAGCAACAGCGACGTCATGGCCCATTCTCGGGGCAGCAATGAGCAACCGGTGTGTTTTCCCCCAGGGCCTAAACCATCGCCGAAGATCTCGAAGCCTCGGCTGAGTCATACAGAGCTGAATTGCTCCCAAAAAGAACCCATCCAGCCGCGCACGACCAGAGTAATTACATTCGTACGCACCGCTTGGACATATGCCACAGACCTGTTCCTCTTTCCGTCTGCTCCCCTATTAGGTGCACTTTTGTGTACACTATTTCGTGGGGGTCTAACCCTCCACAATGCCCCTTTCCACGCGTCTGTCATTGCTTGCGGAGCTGGGTCCTCGCACAAGGGGTCACCGAGGGAGAATAATATCCCGGGCGTGAACACGGAGGGCGACTTTGAGAGTCGGAGCGTCCCACTCAATTGAAACCCCCATCCATTGTGGTGCTGAAGACTGGACTACGTCCAAAATAGATGACGATAAAGAGTAGAAAGAGTGGAGGAGAGACGGCGCACGCCCCACGACTAGGAGCAGAGGCAGCAGGGGCCGAGGAAACGTGCCCCCTACGACATTACTCGAATGGAAATAATTACGGAGTAATTAATACGTCGTACATGAAGCAGTTCGCAGCCTGCCCCAGCACAGCGGTTGTAAGCGCAGGGCCAGGAGGTGCTGCGGCGAATGTCCAGATCCCCGTAATGAAGAGGGCCTCCGCGATTCCGAGAACCCCCGAAGCACATATTGGCTTGCGTCCTGGACTTGACGCTGTCCGTTTCAAAACGGGAATGGCAAAAATCGATGCGGTCTGACGGGTGTTCTATGCTTTTGTGGATGTCTTGTGGGCGTTTTATGGGTGCGGTGAGAATCAGCCATGCAAAGGTGTGATGTCAAGAGAGCATGACCGTGATACCTGGTATTTGCAGACATGGTTGTCCACATAACGGTGCAACATACGTCCAGCTCGTGGCCCGTCCCAAAGCTGTATGTCCTTTGCCGACGCCTCACCTTTCGGTTGCTGAGATTGCCATGACAGACAGTTTGCGAGAAAGGCATGGTAAACCACAAGCCTCAACTGCGGTGTTTCCTCTCGTCCGTCAACCCACTCTCGACAACATACTCTGCTCCATCGCCAAAGCAGCTTCCAGACATGGGGGCATAAAGTATAAAGCGCAAAGAATTCTCGTGTGAATTGTGGCCCCGCAACGTTTCTGTTTTGCTTTGGTTTTGCTCTTGGGCCCGCATGCTTGTTATTGTATTTCCCTCTGTCAAAATTGGGCCCCTTTTGTCCTGGAACCGTAAAGGTGCGCAAAGCTCTCCAAGGAAATCTGGGCCTCCGTTTTCCCGAGCAACGCAGCTCAACACATGTCGGAGTCTGCACGAGCACAGAATGCATTGGGGGCGAGCACGTTGTCGGCGACTCCACGAATTGACATTTTCACGTCTCCACCGTGCGTCGCAGCGCGGTCTTCGTTGCTTTCGTTTACATGAGGTGCTTCTCCAATTCAAACTTCCTTGTGTCTGCGAGCCCTGGGGCTATTGAATAGATGCCCTGAAACTCACTTGAGGCTTTGTTAGTTTCGGCCCAGAGCAAATGTCCTGTAGTACAGAACGAATCCTTTGCCGCAGATTCCAGGTCTCCAAATCATTTGGACTCCAATTAACTCCAGATTTTCGGACTTGGAAGCTCGTCGTGCCAACTGACTCCCGAGAGTTGGAGAAGACACGGAGACACAGTATGCCGCGATTGCTGTCTCCAAACTCGCTCGCCCACGCTTGGTACCTTGTAGCACGAATGAAGGCATCCATCAAGCCTGAAAAGGGCCGTACGGAGTTGGGGGCCTCTGGGGGCCAAAACGGACGTTATCCTTCCCTCCCTGTCTACTCCCTGGCACGTACTCCGTTTACAATTTTGCAGCACGTACCATCGAGGCGAGAAACGAGCAGGGGCAGACAGTAGCAAGGACCCTGCACAAAGACACAAAAGCCAGAATGCCAAAGTGCCAACGCGTCACAGCTACCTCATATTGTCTCCTTCCTATCTTACACCTTCCTTTCTCATCATGTAGGAACAAACACGGCATCGCTCCGCCGAGGAACGAAATGAGGTCTCGATATCGTCATGCCAAACTGTCACAGGGGTAACGGCAGAAGAGGCTAGACCGAGGACCACGGCTTGGGGCTAGCCTGCTCCCGGCAGCAAATCAAAGCCTCGGGGCGTGGTCTAGAAATGCATGCTGTGGGCCATGAATCATGTGCTTCTGGCTATTGATGAGAGAGCCCTTGTGGCCTGTGAGAGAGGTCCACTGCCGTTGTGACCTTTGCTGGCCGGTCGGTCTGCCGTGTATTACTCAGTTTGCATATTGTGCATCCGCAAACCGTATGATGCATCGCCTGAGCTCGTTCGTTTTATGAGAAGGGGCATCGTGAGCGCTTTGTTGACGTCGTTACGAATGCCGTTCGTGAGGATTTGAGCCACCGACTCAGCAGCTCAGTCTTGGGTGCTTCACAGCCTCTGTCCCGGTGCACATCACCACACCCTCTTCTGCATGTCGTTGCGTCCTCCATCGCCTCACGCCTCACACCCCCTCCTCTTCCTTTCTCCACCCGGCCACTAAATGGTTAGGGTTGTGGAGGTAGATCATGCACCGTTTGTTTGTGATATCCCAACTCCATGCTTCTCTTAAAGAATTGGCCTTCGGCCACGGCTTGGATGGCCATTTTGGGAGCAATGCAATGGTGGGATGCGAGAATTGTGAAAATGGGAAAATACTGACGACCGGGCTCCTGATGAGTGTTCGTTAGTCAGGTCCCGTTCGGCATAGCTGTATTGCTGTACTTCTGCACGAAGGATATCGCGTTATTGGCATGCCAGCCTCGGTGCACAATGCCACTCGTGGGATTCACCTCGCCGTCCTATCTGCGATTCCACGATTCTCCACGATTCTCCACGATTCTCCACGATTTGTTCCCCGTTGTGATCCGTCGTCCGGCTGCTCAGCTCCCGGAAGAGGCGTCATGTGAACGTATCGGTTTTTACTATGATCCAGGACCTTCTCAAAGTGGATGTAAGGGTGGACGATTATCGCAAAAGTGACCGTCCTGTCGTGGGCCTTGCCTCGGCCGAAAACCAGGAAACAAAAGCCGCCATGCAAAGACACCAGCTTCGCATTTACATCGGAAGTGTCCTGTCTACGGTATAGCGCGATGCATGCTGTACTGGAACAGGAAATTTGCAGGTCGACAACGTGCCCTCGCCAAAAAGCCGACTGCAAGGACTGTTCCCATTTGGCCTCTGGGGGCGTCTGTTGTAGGTGGACTGCGAAACCGTTGTTAACCTCGGATAACTTTTTCTGACTGTGAAGCCTGTGAGTGCAGCTAGCCCCAGAGAGACCAAGGCCCCGGCAGTACACTTAATCATCGCCATCATTTCCAAATCTGGGGGTGCACAGGAAGAGATCCGCCCTAGAACGTTTCTTAGGACTTAGGCCTAAGGGCGACATTTTAGCGATCCACTCGGGCATTTTAGGCCCCTGGTTCCTTTCGCAGTATTAGGGGGTTTTACAGGACCTCAGAGCGCCGAGGCTTAGGGGAGGGTCACTGTGGATAGGGCCCGAAGGCGGGGGGGGGGGGGGGGGGGGGTGTGCGGACTCGGAGAGACTTCCAGCACGCACTATTAGTTAACGTCTGTGAACGGAGTACTCCGTACGCTAAACGTTAGTGCATGCAAAACTTTCACCGAAACAAAACGCCACCGGCGACAAGACGCCCAAATGACGAAGAACGGTGAGCCGTATCTGGATGTTACAAACGGTCGCCGAAACTCTTGGGCCAAAGAAAATACGGATACGGCGTACTCTAACCGGAAAATATGAAGAAGTACGAAGTAGGGCAAATTGATGACGTAGAGTACAACATACGGCGTACACAAAAGGAGAACGAAGTGAGATGAGAATAGATTTATGAAGCTGGTCCGTGTATGTCGAATGTGCGCAGGAGGCAAGAAACCCGGGAGCGCCCTGTGTTGGTTGTTGCTCTCCGTCTATGCTTTCCTGTATATGAATAGGGAGAGGGATGGGTGAGAAAGAAGTGAGTCGATCGAACGTCGCTAAGAACCAGGGGATGTCTGGAAATCAACAAGCGGCTTATTGTCTCCAGGATACGCCCAAGCGAGCAATGCGAACGATACAGGCAAGAAACCAAAGTGGTCCGAGGGCATGGTGATAAAGTGAAAGACGAGGAAAATTGTTGCCATCAAAGTCTGAATCTGAACCTGGATGCCTCCTCGGCAATTTTCCTGCAAGTACATCCATCCGTCGAGCATAAGCGAGTTCGTCCAAGCCAATGTGAAGATGCTCCACGAATTTTCCATGAATTTTCCATGAATTTCCATGAATTTTTCCATGAATGTGCTTCCATACCATGGGTCAGACTGCTCGGCAGTTTTGTAACAATCCTGCATCGTCATCGGATGCGATTTCGGTGAGAGCATCGGCAATATTACAGGTGACGATATAGGTTCCCCGACGAAGCACGGCAAGTCACAATCGCGAATCGCTGTTGTTCTGTCCCATTCTTCAGTCCCGGCCTTCGGTCCTAGGAACACCGGCCCGGTGGATGGCATGAACTTGATGTCCTCGCAGAGCGCACATATAGGCGTCTCGACAAGGACAGGGGAGGCTGCGACGCTGCAGCTGGCAGATCGTCAGGCTCTTTGACGGCACTGCCTGTAAATTCTGTGCCCCTTCACCGAGGTCGGCAGGCACTTTTCTTCGTTTGTCCCCGTTCCCAGCAGACTGGACCATGGTTTCCTGTTTCAGCCCAGCCCCGGGTTTTCCGTGTTTGCGGAACAACAAGGGACGGGAACACCTGCATCCACAGATCAAAGAGCAACAATGCAGGAACAGCGGAACGTCCGCGAGGCATCGCCAGCAAAAGAAACGAAAAGGATGCAGCAGTGGGTGCAGAAAGCAGATCCGACATGGAGAGCCTGGTCTTGACCACTCGCATCGCCTTGCGTCGCCTCTTTTGCTCTCCTCTAACCGGGATGCCTCGTTACGAGGCTTTTCCTAGCAACAGATCCCCCAAATGCCTCTTTGGGAAGTACCGTCGTGCGATGTTCACGTTGTGATAGCCGTGCATTACTCCCTATTTTGTTTATTGGCGCTGTCGGGGTATTCTTATGCTCTGCCGCGCCTTTGTTTACATTGTAACTGCAGCCTCGTCAGGGCTTTTCTCCGTCCTGCATGCTTTGGCTTCCAAGAAAGAAAAAATTGTTCTCTTCTCGCACGTCGCGAAAGCTCTTCAAAAACCCACAGACACTCATTTTCGCCGTTGTTTGGTCGCACAGCGATCATTTGTTACAGATGACCCAAAGCGGAAGCTTTGGTGTGTCTGCTGTCCGAATTGGGAATGCGGCCTCCGCTTCATCAAGACTGTGATACCACCCGGATTGAAGAAACAGAGTGAAAGTAAAGATAGAGACCAAAACCAAAATACCAGAACCAGGTATTTCGTCCTACGGTTGTCCCTTTGTATTTGTCCTTTTGTCCTATTGTCCACTTCCGCCTATCGCCGCCTTCGGGGAAGTCCATCCGCCTTGCGATCCGCGAGTCTGAGGATGCACTGCTGTCGATGATTCAACTACCCTTGTCCTGGAACCTCATGTTGGTGCTCGCTCCTTCTCGGTGAAGGTGTACGGAGATGTCAATTTCCTTTCGTCGAGATAAACTCCTTTCGGCCCGGTTTCTCCTCGCATCGCAGTCCACATTGCCAATCCACATCCTCCAACTCCACGACGACCATCAGGTCCTTTCGACATTCCCATAGGTCTACGAGCACCAAAACGGTGGTGGGGCAGACGTCAAACCGATTACAGGAAGATGCAAACTACGGCACAGAGTCAACACAAGCCACGATGTATCCAATATCTCGATACCCATTTGCCACTGTCCATCAACATGCCTCCATGTGGAGCACCATTCCCCATTTTCTAGATCATGCGGAGAGAAAACATCGGACGTCCCTCCCCCTTGCCCTTGGACTGCAAAGCTACGGTTCCCCACGTTTCCATGATCTCAGGTTAGTGTCGCTCCTTCATGGGATCGCGTCCTGCTCATGCGCGCTTCTTTCCTCTCCAGGCCATGCCAAGTTTATATCCGCGAAAACAACAAAAAAACAAGACGACAAGACGATTAGCTGCAGGCCAGAAGGAAGGAGGTCTACAGTAGTCTACAGTACCATATACCGAAAAGACGATCGACCGATTGCATACTATTTTGGAGACTCATCTGTCTGATTGTTCTGCCCGTCCGGTGAGTCTGTCGGCGCTGTTGTATCGTGTGTCTTCTCGCCTTGGCTATGTGATATTGTCCCCGTCGGTTTTTTCCTCCGTCTACCTCCTTCTTGTTATGCTTCCATATCGCACGTACCACGGTTCTGGGCCCGGTCGGTCTTCAATGTCATCTGGCCTCTTCTGGCCGCTTCTGGCCTCTTCGGTTTTCATCTAGTCTCGTATTGTCTCGTTTTGTCTCGCATATCTCTTACGCATTGCCCTCGTCGATGAATCTCCTATGGCCATGGACCCCATCGTGCCGCCCTTCTGGTCACTTCGTTATTGATCGCTAGGTGCGCTAGGGCCGTTGCTAAACCCCCATGGCATCGTAGGATTTGGGTCCGGCCTCATTCTCTCCCTATTTATGCAGCTTATATATACAGACATGAAGTGCACGCCCCTCTCCATTCCCAGCTATTTCCTATATCTTCAGTTCTGATTTGGTGCTCTCGTCCAACCGTACTGTGTCTCGACAAGACGACATACCCTTGCTTCCTACTCCATGTTCTGGGCTTCACAGCGCTCCATACTCCGCATATCGTACTCCGTTCTCAATATGAGGGCCCGCATTATCTTCATGCAGATTCGCGTGACCATGAAGCCTTCCGGCGGGTTTCGACATTCAATCCCACAGGCAGAAAAACCGAAGTCCTTTAAAATATGCACTGCATTGAAGACCGGGATCCTCTTCTTCTGCTTTCTGGGGCCTTGACAAGGCCACCAGGGCGGAACGTAAAGAACCCGAACCGAGATGAGCTGTTGAAAGGAAAACCGCCGTCAAGTGCCGTCTGGTCTCTCCCCGTCTTCTTTATACTGCTCTGCTAATGACTTATTCTACCGAACGCTGCACCATTTCCATGGCACAATACCACTCAACGGTGTATGATATCAGGTATCCTCAACAGTATTTTGGTGGAATAACCGAAGGCGCCGCATCTTGCCTCTTCTGGTCCTCTCTCCCCGGCTCCGCAAGCTGGCGGTACCGCCGCCACGTTTTTGGTGGATGTGGCCCAGGCACTCTTCATACTGTTTCGTCAACTCAATAAGCCGATATAACAGGTCCTGTCTCTTACAGTAAGGCATAGACTTTGCACACGCCCTCCCCCTCACCCATGGTTAAGATGGGATACGGGGAAGACTCAGAACGGTCTGGTGCACCTTAGGGAGTCCATATGCAGTTCTCGTCTTGTTGTCAGTGGTCAGTCGGCGCCGTACGAAACCAATGCTGTCTCCACCATATTCTCTGTTTTTCTCGCTGTATTACGGACAGTGAACGCTTTCATACTTCGGCGCCGTTTAGCCGCGTTGCTGTCTCGCTCATTCCTATGTCACTTATCTGGTGCTCCGTTATATTAGCAAACGTTTGTACTTTCCACATCGGAGAATTACTGTCAACTGGAGTGGAGCCCCGTTTCTGACCGTCTTCTGTGTTCTTGGTAACAGAACGCCGGGGAAACTGTCAGAAACCAAAAGTTTTATTCCCGATGATATGCCGCCCAAAATGGACACTAGCAAAACGAAAGACGAAAGGGCTTTTTCTCGCTCTTTCTAATTAATTTTTTTCTCGTCGCCGGTTTAATACCGCGTCAGCTCATCAATGCATTAAGTCCTCTTTTTTCTTGACCAGGACGAAGCCAGGTAAAACGGGTCTACTCCATGGTGTGTAATTAGGCGAAGCTAGAAAAGACCCCAGATTACGTAGTTTTGCTGGGCGCTTGCACATGCAAAATCCCGGCATTTTGCTTCGAGGAGACAAAATATCAACAAGCAAACGAAGACCCCCAACAATGCGGCAACAGACCACAAAGGGCCTTTGCTACTTGCGGCTTAAGATGCGGTGCCATCAGAGCTCACAAAGACATGCACCACGCCCGCATATTGCTGAGTCGTCTCTCGATGCGGTCTCTCAGTACTCAGTGTGCGTCGTAATACGACGTGCTCCAGAGACCAAGAGGGTGTACAGGGAAGCAAGGGGCTTGTCGTCTCGATCGTTATCCCGCAGCAGGCAGGGCCCAGAAGGGTCGAAAGTATTAGGTGACGCAACGGCCGGCAGAACCGTTGTACATCGGCGTACTTGTCAATATTAGCTAGTGGCCTGACCAAGAGAAGGCTGAGTGAGGATCAACAACTGAACAGCGACAGACAAGCAGGCGACGAGTGAATAGCGTTCGCGTGTTTCTAAAGAAAGAAACAGCTTTCTCCAGGGCAGCCAGCTCTCACCTCAGCGCAACACACGCCGTCCCTTATAGTGTCCGAATGTCACTGTCGATGTGCGATTTCGGTGGACAGGACTTCCTAGCCGGCGGCAAACTTCCGCTATGTTTCTCGTCGCGGGTTTTCCATGCGAATGGGCTACTGTATCTCCCTTGCTGTCTTTGTCGATGATGTCTGTTTGTGAATATCCGTCCCGATTTCCTCCCGAATTTTTCATTAACTGTCGATCAAGAGTAAGAGACGCAGCCTCGGTATTGCTGACTGGCGCTTGTGTATGATGGAGGTCTGTTGTGTTGCGTCTTTTGAAGGCCAGTTGCTGGTGGGCGTTTTTTCCCTCACAAAACTTGATGCCAATTCAGTTGTCCATTGCGCAACTCAAAATAAATTTACCAGGAACGTAAGGAGCTCGAATGCTACGTCGGATTGACCTTTCCTCATTCTTTCAATTACGGATTGCCGCAAGAGCGTCGTTGAAAGTTCCGTAGAGGAAAGAGCTATAGACCCCGCATATCGGTTTAACTGCGGGGGAAGGAACAACTTCGCAGACGCGTAGCCAAAGCGCGTCTCGTACAGTCGCCAAGCGCAACGTCACACGTAATCAAAAAGTAAATTCGACTACGTAAAAAGCGACGAGTTGGCGTCTCAGGGATTAACCTCACTACACGGCGGATGATAACGGCGTACAGACGAGACGGAACAACAATCGCAGCTGCGTCGGTGGTGGCCTCGACACTGACGGCGACCGCAGCGGTGCCCATGGACTACCATGCGATCCATGGCCATGATGTGGCCAACTTCAGCACGCCATTGACTCGTGAGATACACTATGCGCTCTTTGTCGTCCCCTGGCCCTTCACGGTCTGGCTGTGCCCTTATTGCGAAACGAGCGGCTAATCTTTCGACAGATCGAGTTTTGACCGTGTCGGCTGCCGAGGCCGAGGCCGCTCTGCTGAGCCCGTCGCCGGCGTCGCCAACTGCGTCTGAGACTGCACCGTCATCCTTGCGTTTCGTTGTCAGCACGGGCGTCGCGACGTTGGATGCCATCCTGGCCGGCATCGATCAGCCAACCCAGACTGGTGGAGACAAGCCACACAGCGACGAGCCAACCAAGGGGGCCGAAGCAGATGGAGACGCCACACAGCGACAGGCGAGCCCGGATACAGCAACGACAGGAAGGAACGCAGCAGTAGGTACCACGGGAGGCGTCCGCCGCGGTCAACTGACGGAAATATGGGGGCCACCCGGTGTGGGAAAGACAGCCTTTGGGTACGTCGAGATGTGTTTCGCTACACCACAGACTTTCTTTGTACACACAGTCCGAGGGGGTTGACAGTGCACGTACAGGATACAGCTCGCAGCAAATGCACTGCGCCAAGGTGGTAGTAGTGTCTGGATCGGTATGTCACTTTGCAGGTGGTGGAGAGAAAGTCGCACGGCCTAGGCCTGGGTTTGTGGACGGGAATCGTTTGTTAACGTACGAGCAAAAGACTGCTTCCAGAGTCTCTGCTACGACCGACTTGGCGATGTCTACGACAGCCGATGTAGCGGGTTCGACGGTGCCAAAGGCCTGGAAGATGGTTTTGTGCATTATGTCTGCCCGAGTTTACCACACTTCATTGCGATGCTGTGTCCCCAACCACCAGCGCAACCGCCATGCATTCCGGCGGACACGACGCTGCTCGTCATCGACAGCTTGTCTGCTCTCGTCAACTCGGCACTTCCAAGGGCAGTTGAGGGGAAGGGACCACCGCTTATGGCAAATGGGAAGAAAGGTAGGCACTTGGGCGTAGCATGTGCATCGGCGATTGCCTGCCACGGCCACGTGTACGACCAATATGCCCGAATTAAGAGACGAGACTAACACCAGTCGTATACAGCCCCCAGTCCGTACGACAAACGGGCACAGGTACTCCAGTGCGTGGCGGCGGCACTGGAACGGCTCGCCGAGACACGCAACATTGCCGTTGTTGTTCTCACCCAGTGTGCCAGTCGCGTACAGACGGAGCGCGGTGCCGCACTCGCCCCGGCCCTTAATGGTGTGGCCTGGGACCGCGGCATCACAACGCGTCTGGTCTTGTTTCGGGACTGGGCCTGGAAAGACAACCGGCCTGTTGGTGGGCGCTTTGCCGGGGTCCAGAAGCTCAACGGATACGAGAGCGACACGGGTATCGACAGCATAGTCGCATTTGATGTTACAGAGGTCGGCCTCATTGAGGAACACTACACAGCCGTCCCGCCACGGTCGTCCATCTACAAACGGAAACTCGGAGAGACGGAGCTTGTCCCTCGGGGCGGTGATGACGATGACTATGGCTGGGACGACGAGGACGAGGATAACCTGCCCAGCATGCCACCGCAGTGGCAGGGCAGTGAGGACATTCTCCTTGGTCATCGGCGTTACGATGATGATGGGGAAGAGGCAGATGAGGACGAAGATGAGGAAGCCGACAAGGATGATGCTGGCGGTACGGAGACCGCTGCTATTGAAGGGGGCAGGCCAGAATCGAAGGACGGTACAAGCCCGCGAATACAGTTGGCCGGGACAATAAGGACACCTCGGAGCATCGCAGACAGTGAAGACGATTCCGATTTCTAATAGCAACACGATGAGTAGGGCCCCAACAAACCTTAGGTCTCTGTCCGGACACGAAATGCCATGGCATGGTGGGGAAACAATGCAATAAGCTTCGCATCAGTCATAAGCTAGCAAAGCAAAAGACATGCTTCTTGAGGAGGCCACTGAATACAGTTCAGCGTGTGTGTTTTCATGAATACACCTGCCGGTCGATGCTTTTGATGAGGCACGCTTACAAGGTGGCCGGCCAACTGCTCATAACGACTTTTTGCGCCCCGTAACCCTTTTCAACTTCGTCCTTCAAATCCTCAAAGGATTCTTCGCTCTTGGGGTTTAAAACGCCCGCCAACATGACACTTCAATAACGTCCATCTCCGTGCACAGGGTATGAAATGGGATATACGGAGTTCGAACTTGATTTTGTATCCACTATGTGTTCTGTTTATCTGTATTAGAAACTGTATAAGAGTGGCAGTCTAAGTCTCTTGATGAAGAAGTCATACATCGAAATTACAACACAGAACCTCCACGGATATTATGCAACATTGTTGGCGATTGAATCGTATTTATACTCTTCGGTGAGATGAGCAGGTTGTCTTTTGGCTTTATGCTACTCTCTATATGTTGTTGTTTGTGTTTCCTTTGTTGTCATATCGTGTAGTCTTGTAGCGGCACTCTTTCTCCTGATTAATTTCCGCCCGCTTTCAAAAAATAATAATAACAATAACAATAACAATAAAATTTAATAAGTGTAAATTTCAGTACGGTTATTTTATATTAAAAAATCCAACAAAAAACTGAAGGCACAATAAATTAAGGAATAGCACAAGACACATACAAACACACCAACAATGCCCCTGCAGCAACACAATTCCGAATCTCACCATGAACACTGCAAGAGAACACATTCAAAACACACCGCATTGGAATCCCCGTACGGGTAAGCACTCGTTGGCACCGCGACCCTGGCCAAACATCTCGTCCGACAACATTGCATGAGATTGAACGCACGGTACCCGGACGTCTATGATGTACGTAATAATACCTGCACGAAATGGCAGCTTCAGACACTTAAAAGAGTTGAGTAGTAACTTTTTCTGTCTTTGGCAGGAGATTTCCCCCCCTTTCTAGGAATACCAAGAGGTGGCCAAGACGTGACCAGCGGTCTTGATTCCTACCTAGTAGCAACCAAGCTCTTGGCCAAATAGCAGCGGGCCTAAGCTGGCGAGATTGTTGTGACAGTCTCTCTGTATGCCTCATGTATGTCGTACTCCGTAATACGCCTGACTACCTAGCAACACGGCGGCTGGTGTATACTGGGTTGGGCACCCTGCGCATGCAAATGTGTCCAACCCAAGATTTCACAAGGAGCGTTCGAATTACTATGTATGACTGTCCAAAGCAAACGTCACCACCCGATGGACGCGGCAAGTTCGGCATCTGGGCTCGCGATGCACGTGCTGAAAGGCTGCCTAAAACAAGAACAGGTGAACGACATAGATTGTTCGTATTGCCGCTTCCAGAGACCGTTTTCCAGGGCCTTTCGTACTACAGTCCCACTTCCGTATCCAATCCGCGGACCACAGATTCGCGTACCGAGTGTATCTGCCGGCTTTGCTGTAGTACGCTCTGCTCAGCACGCCGGCTGCATATCAGGCTTCGCCGTGCGGCTGTGAATGCGTATGGCAATCAATGACGACGACTGAGAGCGCTGCCGGGGCGGTCATATTCCCTGCTCTTCCTGGAACTCGATTAACCACGGTGGCGTATTGCGAAGAATTTGATTTTTTAAGCGAGGAAAAAATGCACTGGACGAAAATAGAGGGAGAAAAAAACGAAACTCATTAAAATGCTGCCAGTGAGATGCCGTTCTCGTCCCGGTCAACGTTACAAATGAAACAAGTGACAGGAGAATGTCTTCTTAACGCCTTTTGGCCTTACGGCCACGATTACATAAATATGTCCATTAATGTGCGCAGCCAATCAGAGCGCCAGGGAGCTTGAAATGACGGGACATCCACAACGGGAGCGACCAGCCAACAGCCTGCGGCAAGCGTCGGTCGGTCGCACTTTCGTTTGTTTGTGTCGTACGCTATGCCAGGTACCCGTAGCTGCTCATTGGCTGGGCCGCACCTGCCCCCCAGAGAAAAAGCCACCAGCGCAGAAAAGATGGTGTCCGTTGGGAAAGCGCGACAGGTACGTAGAAAGTACTTCAAACGGTGCAAAAACTGGGTAATTGCACATTTTTTGCGACGGGGAATAATCGACAATTAACAGCGACCAACAGAGTGGACAAAAGGCTCCTCCAGAGCGATAGGCAGGAGGGGATTGGTCCACCGACTCTCATTTCACCAATTTGGGCGCTGTCGGAAATGAGGAGAGCAGAACCGGGAAGAGCCAAGAAAATCAACCGACGGAGAGGGTAAGAGCAAATGGCGTTCCAGAACATGTTTGTCGGTCAGCGACAGGGGCTGCGGCATTGCGAGTCACGATAGTGAGCAAAGTAAGGTTCACTTGGCAGAGGATCAATTAAACTGAGATCTGTCCCGGGGCGAGATCCATTGTTTGAAGTAAGAAACCCGGTAGCTCAGGACAATGTTCTCTCGGTACGGGCTACCACCATGTTTCTGATTTTCCGTTTCTTTTGGATTCCGTTTCTGTTGGAGATGTACCTCGTTTCACGTGCCGCCTATTACTGGCTAAATTGAAGTTCGCTGTCTTGCACCTTGACGAGGTGTTTGTGCGCGGCGCAGACGGGGCGTCAATGTGACGACAGTTTTTCTACAAGGTGCAAACGGGACCCCGAGTTTGACGGCTGCCAGGAAGGCGCGAACAATGCCAACGCAGTCCGTCTTCGCTGGCCGCACTTGCCACGAAACACCGCACGTACTGAGCACAAACGTGGCAAATGACCAACAAAATAGGAAAGAAGCGGAAGGCGAATGAAAGAGACCAAGAAAATTCTTTTACATTAGGCCTCGTCGTTGGACAATCCACGGCCAGGTGCCTGAAAATTAGGAAGAAAACTACAGGTGCGACCAGGGCATGAATCTGCTTGGGCCGTTTTCGCCTCATGGACTGAGATTTCAACAATCGCACCTGCCCAAGAAAGAGATACTTTGTGGGTACTGGCCGTGGCCTGTTTGCCTCTAGAACGAGGGCCTCTCGGGCCTTTTCTCAGATGTGCTTTTAAGGTGCTGTAAGATGCGCTTCAGGTCTGTTCAATCCTCTTCAGAACCATACGGCAGTGGCGCAAAAAGTGCGATGCACGGCCTATTTCGCCATCAGAGCAAGGAGCATGGGCTCCTCATATGGTGGTACGGAGCATGTACGAAGAGGACGCGCGAGGCAAAAGTCGAGACAAGACGCCGACCCTGGCCTCTTCGTTGAAATTACGGGAGCAAAGGACAGCACAAAGGCGAAGCCAACCAAGCGCACCAAGCAACCGACGGGGGCTCCTGTTGTACCCCCAAGGTATTGGCCCCGTGTCAGTCGCGGTAGCGGACCCGCTTCTTTCCTTTTCTGGCTACCTCCAGGCGACACAATCGTTATGGTCTTAGGAGGTGTGGCCCTGGTCGTTGATATTATTGTCGCGTGTGTGGGGCCTCTCATCTGGTCCCCTGCTGCGCTTTCCATTTTCATCGTTGGCACCGCGCCCGCTGCTGGGCCACACCTGCCAGTCCATGTTGTCCCCCTTTCTTGGGGGTGCTGCCGTGCCCTCCAAATTTTCGCTGTTGCCCATGACTCGCCCTGTTCGCCTTCCTCATCTTCCCTCTTTCCCCTTCCATTCGTTTTCTGCAGTTTCTGTCCCTCGCCATCGCATCCTTCGTTTAGGTCCCTCACTTTTTTTTTTGCGCTTTGCTTCTTCAGAGTATTCCGTTACTCGTGCCATTCCTTTTCATTTACCCGCTTCTTTGGTTTACACCGGTCTCTCTTTTCTCACACGCGCCAGGCGAACTCGACGTTTCGCACTGCTTCGACCACGACGATACCAAACGAACCACCCGCATCACGATCTCATTCAGTCGGTCTTCACTTCTCCACAGACTACAGACTCCGTACACCAGCACAATGCTTCTCAAGACGTCGACCGCCCTGGCCATCCTGGCCGCCGCCTCACAGGTCGTGGCCGAGCCGCAGCCGTATGCTGCCCGCAAGCTGATGTCGGTCCGCGACATGTTTGGTGTCGTTCGCCGTGACGGTGCTGATAGCTACACCCCGTCCCAGAGCTACTGTGGCATCGGCGAGACCTGCGCCCAGGCCTGCGGTGCTGGCTACGAGACGTGCTCGTCGACCGACGACGCCATCCACTGCTACGACCCCAGCAACCAGCAGGTGTGCTGCCCTGACGGCTCCGGCAACTCTTGCGATGCCGGCTACTACTGCTCCGGCACCGAGAAGGGCGAGACCGTGTGCTGCCCCAACAGCCAGTCCCTGGCCGAGTGCGCCGCTGCCTACCACGTCAAGGGCTCTCTGACCCGCGAGACCGCCAAGCCCACCTCGTCGTCCGCCTCCTCGTCAATCATCTCGTCCTCGTCTGTGTCCTCGTCTTCGTCCTCGTCTTCCGTCAACTCGACGACCAGCACCGCCGCTACCAAGCCGACCGGTCACCACGGCCACCATGCCAACGGCACTGTCGTCACCTCGTACAGCACGAGCTTCACGACCACGTCGTGCTTGACCTCGACTGCTGGCACGGCCGCCCCTACCAACGCCAACAACTTCACCACGTCGCATGGTGGCCCGTCGCCCACGGCCTCGCAGGTCGCGACCAGCGCTGGTGGCTTCATCAAGCCTGCCGGTGCTGCCGCTGCCATCCTGGCCGCTGTTTTCACATTCCTGCTGTAAATGCAAACGCCGGTATATGCTCGACACCGCATCTCTCTATCCGTCACAGGCTGCTACGCGTTCATGAGACAAACGACTCCATTTCAACTCCCTCTAAAAACAAACAAGCGGCGTCTTCTCTCTTGTCCGGACACTGGTCGTCTTCTTCCCTATCTCCTCAATCCGCCAACCTTTTTTTCTATTTTTTATGTGCTCTGTCGGATGTTTGCAATGCTTTGGCGGGTTCGCGTGCAGGCTAGCCGCATCGCAACATATTCAATGTCAAGAACATACCTTCATATCTGGCTGAGGAGTTGGCTTGGTTTTTTCTTTTATTAACTGGGGGTTCTTTTTTTTTGGTTTTTTTATTTCCTTTTTTTCACTTCTCTGTCTATGATACCTCAGGGAACAAGCAGGTTCCTCCAGTTCTTTTAGTCCCGCAAGCGATATGAAAGAACTGAAGGGGCGTGCTTCACCACTGTCCTAGGACAACCAACCCATTTTTTACCCATTTAACTACTTTTTTGATATCACTGCTGCTTGCGAAAGCTTCCTGTTTATTTTCAATGTACGCAAGCCAGTACGAGGCAAGCCTCGTACGATTGCTTACCCAACCCCCCCGCACGCCTTGATCTACTTTCTCGTCGCATATTTTTATTTTTTTATCGATATTTTACTGGAGAAAACGAAAATGTATCGTCAGACATTGCACATAACCTTTCATGTCCCACTGCCCTCGTGACTCTATGCTTGTGATTGATTGACACTGGGTTTATTCGTGATAGTAATGACCCGTAAGGGGCAGAATGCCGTGGAATGAGTTGATGAAGTCACTACTCGTGATTAGTTCTCCTACTCATGTTTACTAGCAACACTGAAAACCGGCCATTGCGAAGATGTGAATGAAGAGTAAGGACTTCGCTGTTTCTATTTATTTATTTGCACCTGGTACGGGATGGCGAGAAATCCTGAGAAAGATCGCTCTATTTTTTGATGTCAACTTGTTAGAGGAGTTGCTAGAATGGCAAACTGAGACGATGCGCAAAGTGCAAAATTCTCTTCATTGGACCTGTCGATCTGTGTTTAAAAAAACACGAGTGTTATTTCCCGTTGCACGGGCCAATACGAACACGGCGCCAACGACAATTGTTCATTGCCTGTCTGGCCCAGAAAGGGATAAGTTGTGTCGATCGCAGCTCCTCATCCCTTTACGACCTACAGATCGGCGCATATCACGATTTGCCTCACTCCTTGTCACCCGTTTGGTTTCCCCCAAGCCAGGGATCGCATTTTCTGCTGCACAATTGTGTAGTTAACAGGGCTGACGCTACGTCCCCTTAGCAAGGCATCGCAGGAATGTGCTGTCTTGGCGTATCCTCGAACTCACAAGATATTTTACCTGGAGACGAATAGCGTGCATATTTATCTAGCCTCCCACCACCAAAGTGAGAACAAAAAAATACAGAACCTGTTACAAGCCAGCTCGCCTGAGTCAGAAACGCTTTTACCCGGTTTCCCGGTTTGGCTTTTTCGCAGTGAGTTGGGCTGTGTTGTCGTCATGTGGTACATTCTTTTGTTTCGTTTCGTACCTAGATGGACAAGAGAGCACGCCGGCGTCTTGACAAAATCAGGAAAATACACGAAACAAGTGGTTCCTAATCAATACCAAACTTTGAAAACAATAGAAAGTGTTATGTGAATTGCTTGCTGGCTGGGCGACCATAAATTGTAGGCCTGCTGGAAGTTAAAAAGAGATAAGAAAGAAAAGCAAATACTCGTCCGAATCGTGCGGATAATCAAGGTAAACAAAACAAAACAACCGAGCACTTAGCAAATGCTATACGCTATTGTGATGTCAGGCGGTCCATAAATCTCGTACCATGGCATCTCCTGCCCACCCTCTTCCAGCTTACGCATTGTAGTCGGGCGGGTTGTCCATCATCTCGTCGGGGTGAGGACGGCGCGCTGGCATTGGCTGGTGCTGGCGACGGAGCCGCTCCAGAGTGGCCGCCTCTTGATGTTGAGACGTATGTTGCTGCGCCTGGCCCTGGGGCTGTTGTTGCTGCTGGTGCTGCGACTGCTGCCTCTGCTGTTGCCGCATCGCCCACAGCTGCTGCTGATATCCGACGTAACCAGCTCGCTTATAGCTCAGCACCTCGTACACTGCCTTGGCAATCTCCAGCGGCCGCTTGCGCCAGTCACGCTCGCCCCAGACTTTACGCAGCAGACTGTCCGCAATGGCCGTGGCCAGGAACCGCACGGCGTGGTCCTCGGGCGTCCACGTCGTCTTGTCCGGGTGGTACGCCAGAAAAATGACCGACTGGTTGTTGATGGCGTCCTTGGCCCGCTGTGCTGTCGCCGCCTTGTCGGGCTCGGGGTCGCTGGGAGCCTTATCAGGGATCTCAACGGCATTGCCCGACTCGTCGTAGAGCGCCGTAAAATATTGAGGGTCTAAATAGTCGCGGCAGTACTCCTCCCAGTCACCCTCGAGAAACGCAAGCCACTCACGGAATTGCGAAGCATCCTTGAACGGAAGCAGCTCGAGAATGAGGCGTTCGTGCTGGGCAGAAAGGCGGAGGCTCCCGGTACTGCTGGGACCGGCATTCGGTGTACCAGATGCACTTCCGGGAGTATGCACATTGAGTGAGCTGGACGAAGCCGACGCAAAGCCAAATCCGCCAAGCACCGGAGTCGTGACTGGAGGTGAGGTAGGGCGCACGGGCAACGGTGGCGGTCCGTTGTTGCTACCAGAGGAGCCAGTTTTCTCGTTGGAGGAGACCATTGTAGAGACAATGCGAAGAGATCAAAATCAAAGATGATAAAGCAGGGCCAGTGTAAACACAGGAGCGACAGCGCGGTGACAAGCTAGCGGTGGCCGCACCTCACTTACACGGTCGGTTGGCGGCCATAGCTTCGCTCTTAACCTTTGTTAAGCTGTTGCCTATATGCGTGTAACGGGATCCAGACAGGAGGCTGTGCACACATACGCATCGGAGGACTACGTATGCCAATACTGACTTGCTACTAGAATATATAATCGTTGTACCGAGGTAACAGTGCTAGTAGCGGGATTATTATGCAGTTGCTGAATCTTCTGGCCTAGAATCCCACTTTTTGCACGGCCAAATATCTGCCCGGTCTTTGGACTCGGCACCATGCAAGGGTTTTCGGGCAACGGAAAGCGCGTGCTCTTTTTATGTCCGGCGTAGGCATCAATGTAAATCTGGTGTATCTGTTGTTAAAAAACTGTAATGGCGTACGGGGCTATTTATATAAATGCATTGCTATTTTTATCCCAAAGAAGATGTTTAATTGGAGTCTCATGAGGTCGCTTTAGCTCTGTCGTGAACGACGATCGTTGCGTTTGCCAGTAACAAGTTTGTTAAGATGTACAACAAAAAACTCGGATCATGTGACAGAAGCTGACTAAAATAGGTCATGTGATCGTTTCACGAACGCTCGCGCGTCAAAAAAGAAGAGGTAAGAATTAGTTTCTGTTACAATACCCACCTACTCTCGCCCTCGAAACTATTACTTTTCAACAATTAATCTATAGTGAAGTCCTATCCCACAACCATTCATAACAGTAAAAGAACGTGCAGATTATACAAGCAGAAGGATTGTGGTGATGGATGCGGGCACAAGTAAACAAAAAAGAGGCGCGCCGCGTTTTCGATATGGTCACGAGAAAAGCGGACCCGCTATTCACTAATATGATGACATTTTGGTCACATGATCCGAATTTTTTCTTGTACGATCATGGTTCATGGAAAGTTCGAAGGAAGGTAAAATTGTGGATTCAGTCTTTTGAGTCTAGAGAGAATAATACACAATCAACCCAGACTCTCGACCACCCCTCCAAGCGACTCCTCGTTCGACCAACCTGCCCACCATGTCTGAGCTTGCTCCCTACAAGGCCGAGTTCCTGCGCGCGTCCATAAATGGCGGCCCGCTGTCGTTTGGCTCGTTCACGCTCAAGTCGGGTCGCCAATCGCCGTACTTCTTCAACGCCGGCTCCTTCTACCGCGCCGACCTGCTCTCGGCCATTGCAACGGCCTTTGGTGAGACCGTTGCCGCTGCCGACAAGGAGGGCGTCTTTAGCAACACGGAGAGCAAAGACACCTCCCAGCCCGCCTTTGACGTCGTCTTCGGTCCGGCATACAAGGGCATCCCGCTGGCCACGGCCACCGTCGGTGCGCTAGCCGCCCTCGACAAGGAGCGCTACGGCAGCATTGGCTATGCCTTTGACCGCAAAGAGGCCAAGGACCACGGCGAAGGTGGCAACTTCGTCGGTGCGCCGCTGGCCGGCAAGCGCGTTGTGATTGTCGACGATGTGATTACGGCGGGCACCGCCAAGCGCGAGGCTGTGGCCAAGATCCGGGCCGCGGGTGGCCACGTCGTGGCCATTGTGGTGGCGCTGGACCGAATGGAGACGCTTCCGGACGCGCCAACCAAGGAGAGCGCGCTGGGTGCGCTGCGCCGCGAGTTTGGCCTCCCGATCCTGGCCATCCTGACGCTGGACGACATTATTGCCGGCATGCGGGCGTTTGCCACGGCGGACGACCTGGCGCGCACCGAGGCGTACCGGGCGCAGTACAAGGCGGAGGACTAGAGGGATGAGACCAGGGGAGCTGGGAAATACCCATGCGATTGTATTTAGTAGGCGCGTTGATGAGGTAAAGGACAACGGAGGCGTTAGGGTTAGGGTTAAAGAAATAGAATAGAAAGGAGATAGAGAAGGCCGTTGTGGCGGGTCTCTTCGGCTCCTATTGGGCGGTATTCATAAGGATGTAACCTCGCATTTGGCTCTGGAGTTCTGTTTTGTATCGTTAGATGTTTGCTCATCGTTCGCCGTCCCGTTATTATTGTATTTATTTATTTTCGGTTGGATTCGGCATATATCATCAAGCGTGTTCTGCTTTCCTTTAGATCGCATAGTACTGTGTTTGTTAGATCAATGCCTCCCCAGAGCGAGTCCGTCTAGAAACAAAAACTCACCATGTCAAACCAGCCGCCGCCGCCAAACTGTGCCTTACTTGGACCGTTGTTCGTAAAGCCCAGTCTCGTATAGTAGTCGACGAGATAGTCCTGGCAGATCAAGGCAACGCGGTCCACCTTGTGCGCCCCATCCGACGCTGACAGAGCGGCCATGCGCCCGAGATACGCCTTCATCAGCTTCGTGCCCAACCCCTTGCCTTGCAGCGACGGCACAATGCCCAACGAGTGCACGGCAACGGTGCGTCCAGTCGGCTGGTGGCCAAGCGGAGACGCTATGGGGGTGCCAGCGGCCACAGCAGCCCGCCAGTCCTTGGGCACGCCCATGCTGGCATCCGACAACACCAATGTGGAGCACCGAGTGGCAATTACATGGCCAACTAGGACACCGGACGGCGGCACAGATGAGGGCGAGGACGTCCCGGGCAGCAGCGTCTCTGAGTCAGCCGTGTGCACGAACAGGCCGAGGCTTGTCTCAGGGCACACGGTCAGACGGTACGAGAACTTGTCGGGCGTGGCGCGGTGGTCTGGGTTGGTGAAGCAGGCGTTCTCGACGACGACGCAGGCATCGCGGTCGGCCACGGTGAGAGGCCGGATGGTGACGGCGCCGGGGGCCGTGAGGTCGATGGAGGCCATGGCGAAGAATGGGAGGGTGGTGCTTTCCGATGCCTCGTCTTTAGTAGAGCCTGTGCCAGTTTGAAGAAAATGGCTATTGAGACCGACGGACTTGATATATCCAGAAAAAAAAATATCCAAGAAAAGCAAACGCAAGAAGAAGCAGTAGACCGAATTTAATGGAGAGTAGTGCGAAGGAGGGCGTACGACACAGAAGACGCAATGTTACCGTGTTCGAAAGTCCAAGTATTTAATTTCATACAATGTATGCCGACTGAATTGTCAAATGGCTGTTGGCGGACGCTGCGAATAATAGGTGGGTTTCCTTTTGTGGAGTTAGTCAACTGTACAACGTACTACTGCTGCACTCCCCGCTCTACCTGCATTACACAGTCTGGTCTGACTAACTGGAACAGTACCTTAAATTTTGCGCCTGTTTTCATCTCACGAAATGACAACACAGTGTCACGAACTTGACATTTTTGGATCAGCATCTTTACCCCCCGTGCGCCTGGCCCACTATCCATGTGAAACCTGGTATCCATAGCACCTTCCCCTCTCACTCACTGGCCCCTGCAACGCGCCTACCGCATTCGGTTTTGAGCGCATTCGTCGCGTCACGGGACGCTCATTCGAATTATCTGTTGTGAGAACGACGAACTCATATCGCATCGCATCGCACGATCTGACCTTCATCAAACCGCCGCAAGTCCCACGGCCAACGCTTGCCGCAGGCGAGCCATTGCGATTTTATTCCTTTTTAAGGTTTGTTGCCCTCCTGTCTCACGACGACTTTCGTTCCTTACTTTCTCATGCACGACATGTGTTGAGATGTAATGCGAGCCTGCAATTGGTTGCCCTGTCACTGCTCATCGCGACACTGTACAAAGATACGACGATAAGCTTATAGTTGTTGAAATGCGACAGTTTATGTATTCTACTGGATCATTGCACCAACCTGTCAACTTCGCCCAGCCTCACTTCATCGCTTAGTCTCATGATCAATCACCATTCTAACCGAGCTACAGTATCTTTATTTTACTCTGTCATTATTAGACGATACGATGGGCGACAATGCCAGTGCGGCTGTGGCCGAACCCGAGCCCATAGCCGATGTCATAGAAGCAAAAGAGGACTCCCGACCTGCTGAACCTGTCGAGCCTGTCGAGCCTGCTGCGTCTATTCTGCCGACGAAACCCTTCTCATGGCTGTATGCGAACCTGTTGCGTTCTCCCTTGAGACGCGCTCACATCCATTGTATGGAACATTCCATCGACTGACATCGTCGTGTGCAGTGATCCCCACCCGATTTTTGTTATCCTTATTGTGGGCGCCGAGGAAAAGCCCTTTGGCATCCAAAAGGACTTTCTTTGCGCAAAAAGCCGTTACTTTCAAGATTATTTTTACAAAAGCACACCCAACGGCACGGCGCCGAATGTAAGCGATAACGGTACGGTCGACAAGGAGGTCGAAAATGTTATCCGAATGAATGACATCTCAGTCGAAGCGTTTTCCTACGCGCAACACTTTATGTACACGGGCAACGTCGTTCCGGACCAGGCCACTGTCATCAGCTCTCATTTCAGCACCGGCAAGGAAGAGCCCGGGATCCCCAGCTACGACCTTCTCGTTAGCATTTGGAAGCTCGGCCACCGCCTGGGCATCGACGGCCTTTGCGAGCGTTCGCTTGAAGCCATGGCCGAGACCAAGCGCCTGACACAGTCGATCCCCGCCACAAACATTCTTGTGCAGGTCTGGAAAGACACACCGGACGGCTCGTCCATCCGCCATCTGCTGCTGTCATGGGCCGCCGAGTACCTGCGGTCGAGCGAAAGCGGCCGTTCCGAGTTTGCCAGAGCTCTTCCCCAAGAGCTGCTCAGCGAGCTTGTTGTGGCCATGAGCAGTTCGTACGGGGACTTCTGGGGTCTTCCCGGCGATACGAACGGCGACGACGACGTTGCCAGCGCCGCAGCCTCCACGCGCTCCGCCGAAAACGGCCACGTCAATGGCAAGCACTATCTCGAGGATGACTACGACGACAGCACACAGGATGGTGGCGACCCTGGTGCCAACGGCAACAGCAGCATCCACTATCGTGGCTCGCCCCCGGCATCCAAACGCGCGCGTTATTTTGACTCGTTTCCCGTGGGCAGAGCATCGTCTGTCATGAACCCGGCAACGCCAAACTTGCCTGCGTCACCGGCGAACATTGCGCCCGGCTCTACAGGGAGGAAAGCTATCAGAACCGCGCTGCCCACCGGTGGTGGCGCCACACCGCGCGCTATTCCAAAGAAGCGGAGCATCAATGTGGACGTTAATTCATTCACCGAGGCCCAGAAACTCGAATTTTGCGCCGACCTCGTGACACGTATGCTCTCCGGGCCGGGGTTCTGGACGCGGCTCGTGGGCCCGTTCAAGGAGCCCGTTGACCCCACGTCGGAAGGCATACCAGATTATTTCACCAAGGTCAAGCGGCCCATGGACCTCGGCACGATCAAGAACAACCTCGACAACCACCGGTACAAGGCGCCTGAGGAGTTTTTGGCTGACATGCGGCAGATATTTTCCAACGTATACTCGTACTGGACAAAGGACGACCCAATTTGGACAACCTGCGAACGATTGGAAAAAACATTCGAAGAAAAATACTCTCAAATGAGCAAATGGCTTGTGAAGCGGGAAGACGAAGTCCTTGCATAGACGTCAGAAATGCGGGCCTCCGAAGCGTGTTTTCGATTTCTTTTCTTTTCTTTTTTTTTATCTTTTTGTGTTTGTACAATTATGGGTTGGAACGGATTCGGTTTTATTATTAATGTTGGGCGGTTTGCAACGGACGGTACTATACCAAAGAACTAATAATAGTGTTGTTCAGTTTGTGTCTTTAGTTTATGTAGAATGTATTATGCAAGATATCGCTGGAGGCAAATGCGCAATGCATGATCTTGAGGTGTGTCCTCCTCTCAACATGTTTATGGCACCTGGACGCAACCACCGACATGGCATCCCGCCATCTCGTTTCTCCATACTCGTGACATCGCCTCGTTTTTCTTCAGTGTCTGCGTTCATGACCATTTTATACCAAAGAGCGTTCCTCTCTTGTCTCCAGGAGCGTCGCCGCCCGACTTTTCCAGGTAGATCCGGTCATGCCCTGGCACGTCCACATAGAAGTACTGATACGAGAAATCACTCTGACCACGCCGCCGTGTCAGGTGCAGGTATGCTTGGCCGTTTGCGCGAGGGCCGTCGAGGTGGAAGTGCATCACAAAGTGCTCAGTGCCCTGTGCATCAGTCCGTTCAGTGGAGCTAAATATATCTCATGTTAGAAAAATTCAATTTGAACACAGTTTTATAGCCGGCATAAACATACGCAATTGGCCGTGCTCTCCGCCATTTGTTCGACGTCTCCTCGCCGTGGGCTGTTATCTTGCGACCGTCGCCTAGCAAATCCGTGACCCGGTGGTCGGATCGGATCCGGTCGACCGCCCGGTTGAAGTTTGACACCTTGCTGCTGGGTGAGAACACTTCGGTGTACAAGAAGTAGCAAACGCCGCCCGTTAACACAACGCCCACAATCACCATGCCAAGGTTAAAGGTCTGCTGAGCGGCACGGGCCGTTTTCTCGCGGCCAGAAAGCTCCGTCCAAGGAACTCCGCCGTCATCGTTGAAGGGCGTGACAGAGCGGCGGCGGGCCGAAGCCGAGGATGAAGACGACGAAGAGGATGAGGTGGTGCTCTGGTGTTGTGTGGCGTAGTTGCGGGCGAGTATGCGCCGCTTCGTGGGTGCTGTCGAGGTGGTGCGCAGAGGGAACGAGGCTACCATATGACAGCAGCTCCGTGATGCGCCGGACGCAGCCGACGACGGCCAAATGGCCGCTGTTGATGACTGGCTGGCAAGCGAGCGGACGTGTGTTATTCTCATTTTGGTTGTGGCAGGCGTGTTGCTGGCTGGCTGAGCAAGATTGTCGTCGTCGTTGGGCGGGGAAGAAGGCTGGCGGACACGAGACACTGTCGAGAAGGCTGCTGCAAAGCGCACCTTCCCGCCGAAGCAGCTAATACGTCTCTGCGCGAAAGAATCTTTCTACTGTTTGTGGGGGGAAGGAGCTAACACATACACGGCTAGCGCTGTCAAGCAAAACGGAAAGAGCGACAAGTACGTCGTATGCTTCTAGCCGAATTGCACAGGGCCTCTTGACGCACAATGCCCGACCCCAAACCCCACTAAAGGGGTCTCCTCAGGAGGGGCGAGACTCACTGGCAGCGGATTTCAGTGCACATTTAGCGCAAAGGCCAGCCCAGACAGGCCACAGCCCGCAAACAGCACCCTAGGGAGGGAGCGCTGGTAGGCGTAAGAATACGGAGCCTTCAATTATCGCGAACTTGTCCTCTTCCTTGTTTCCCAAACTCTGCCTATCTCTCGCCCTCGCCTTTGCTTTCCACGCGCTCGCTCCTCCACCACCACGACCGCCACACGATCCGGACACCCTCTTGCGAGATCTGCGGACCAGGTGTTTTCAATTTATATTCGCAGACCATCCGACAGCCGTTGGCCGGAATCGACAAGACACATCTCTGGCATTCATTCATTTTTTTTGCGTCTTCCCAAACCCGCCGCAAACCGTCACGATGAGCGGCCTTGCGACTAAGCAGCAGTCGCTCAAGCTCTTTGAGAAGCTCAAGAGCAAGCCAGCCAACAAGGTATGCGGCCTACATCGCGTCATGGGCTCCACGTGGCCGACTACCGTTCATCGTTCACCATCCAGCGCCCACCCCGCTTACACCTTTAGATCTGCTTCGACTGCGGCCAGAAGAACCCCACGTGGACATCGGTCCCCTTTGGCATTTACCTGTGTCTCGACTGCTCGGCCAACCACCGCAACCTCGGTGTGCACATCTCGTTTGTGCGCTCTACGAACCTCGACCGTACGCTTATCCTCTTGTTCTACCTATCCTGCGACCGACGACCCCCTTTGGTCCTGTCCAGAGTCTGGATACGAATATGTACTAACATGCTCTTGTAGAATGGCAATGGGACCAGCTGCGCGTGATGAAGGTTGGCGGCAATGATTCGGCCACCAAGTTCTTCCAGCAAAACGGCGGCTCGGCTGCCCTGAACAGCAAGGACCCCAAGACAAAGTACCAATCCAATGCCGCGACCAAGTACAAGGAGGAGCTGAAGAAGCGTGCCGCACGCGATGCCAAGGAGTATGTTGTCGTTCCTGACCGATGGAACCTCTTTCTCATGCTTACACATACGCCTAGGTACCCCGATGAGGTCGTGATCAACGATATCGAGGTGAGCGACGGCACCAGCACGCCCGCCGGCGAACCAGCCGACGACTTCTTCTCGTCCTGGGACAAGCCCGCCATCAAGAAGCCCACACCGCCCGTTTCCCGCACGGCCACGCCCCCCGTTGTCGGCCGCACACCCTCGCCCTTCCTCAGCGCCGGCGCTAACAACGCCGGCGCCCGCTCGGCCTCGCCGCTCTCTGGCGGCTCCGCCGGCAATGACGATGCTGCCAAGCCGGCCGCCAACCGTATCACGCACTCCTCTGCACTGAAGAAGACGACTACCGGCCCCCGGAAAACCAGCATTCTAGGCGCCAAGAAGACCACGTCGAAGCTGGGTGTCAAGAAGGTGACGGGCGACGTTATCGACTTTGACGAGGCCGAGAAGAAGGCCAAGGAGGAGGCCGAGCGCATCGAGAAGCTCGGATACAACCCGGATGAAGAAGAGGACGCAGCTGCTGCCCTCAAGTCCAGTTCAAAGTCGGAGATTGTGTCGCCAACGCCCGTGGCCCCCGTTCGCAGCGGGTACGGCTCGGCCTCGCACTCGCGTGAGAAGTCGGCCTCAGAGATGGAGCGCCTTGGCATGGGCATTGGCCGGTTGGGCTTCGGCCAGGTCGGTGGCCGGCCTGGTGCTGGCGCCTCTGCGGCGGCAACCAAGAAGAATACCGGCGGCTTTGGCTCAGTCGGCCCTATCAAGGCCAACGTCGGTATGACTTTTTTATTTTTTAATTCCGTCGGGTTATCCACTCACTTTGAATTAACAGTACGCTAACCTCATTTTACGCAGACGAGGACGAGAAGTTTGCACGGTCCAAGTTTGGCGCGCAAAAGGCCATCTCGTCTGACGAGTACTTTGGCAAGGGCTCTTACGACGCCAACGCGTTGTCCGAAGCTAAGCAACGTCTGCAGGGCTTCGACGGTGCCACGGCCATTTCGTCTAACGCATACTTTGGCCGCGCCGAAGAGGAGACGGTCGAGGACTACGGCGACCTCGAATCGGCGGCCAAGGACTTTGTGCGCCGGTTCGGCATCACGGCAGGCGACGACCTCGAGAACCTTACGCAGGCACTCGGCGCGGGTGCCACAAAGCTTCAAGGCGCGATTCGCAATTACCTGAACCAGTAAAGAGGCAATGAATTTATCGTCTTGAGGCGGAAGCGAACTTTTGTTTCCTTTTTCCCTTCTTTTTGGTTTAGGTTGACATGGCGGGAAATAAAAAACACGAGAAGGCCGAGAGGACTAGAAAGGCAGGAATGGTGGACTGCGGCTCTGTTTTTTCGAGTCTCATTGATACTTTTCTATCCTCTTATTCTCTTTCGTTTATGGTTTCCTTTTGCACTGGTGGAGTTTTTGCTATCCGACTTTTATACAGGCTGGAGAAGCAGGAAAATGGGGGAAGATGGCTGTTGACAGGTTGAAGAAAGTGGTCTACGAAACGAGTCCGGCGTTCAATATGATTTTTCTTATTTCTTTTTGTCGTTCCTCTTTTGTCGTTACATATCTGATTTTCTCCCAAAAAGAATACATTAATAACATCCTTACTTTGTAACCCCCTTGTACGATCTGACGAAGCATATGCCTCTTGGCGTTGTACGCTTCTCGTGTTACAAGCACTGTAGGCCGGAGACAGAAATACGAGAAATCGAAAATAAACGTGGCAACGACAATTGCGGCAGTGTAAGGTGGCGGATTACAAAACATAAGCCAGAAAGCATAACATGAACATTTAATCGTCTTATAAAATTGTGATTACTTAACATAATTGAGGGGGAAAGGATAGGAAAATTGCCGCTCATCTCATTCTCACCAGTGGGCGTGAGAAGTTGCTGCATGAGAATGTGGTATGTCCTCTTCAATATGGTGTGGCCTGGTGACCTCAGCCCGTGTCCGCTTAAATGGTCTTTCGGGCTTTGTGGGTGAGATTCACATGCTTTTTTTTGGTAGTCGCGTTTTGGTGTTGGGCTGATCTTGCGCGGAAGCAACTTTACTAGCCATCCAGTCGCATCATTTGCCTCCTTCGCCACCTCCACATATCCTCGAAAACATATGGGCGAATTTCGCAACTGAGAGCGGACGGATTTTAACGACAGAACATAATCGGTGTTTTGGGATATCTCTTTCTAATTGACGTATTTAGACAAGACGGAGAGATACAAAAAAAATAAAACACATGTACAAAAATGAAAATAAAAACGTAAAAAAAATAAAAGATGCCGCTCAGTAATGTTCCACGGCCTAGTATGTGCATTATTTTCCCAGGCCCATACGCATCCCATGCGTGGTCCTCGCATATCCTATCTTTACAGCCGAGCGTTTTACAGCTTGGCAATCAGCTTGTTGCCCTGGGTCAGAGCAGTGACGGCATCGTTAACGAGCTCGTCGACAACGGCCTTGGCAGGCTTCTTCTCGTTGACGACAGACGCGCACTGGCCCATCAGGAACGGCCGGAACTGGTCCATCAGCTCATCCACATCGACCTCGTCATCCTCGCTGGCGCCATCCTTCTTTCCGATGTCCAGGCCCGAGGGTGGCGTGGTCAGCTCGCCAGCCAGGACCTTGTCCAGGTCAGCCTCGTAGGGCAGCTTGCCCTTGCTGGTGAGCTCGCGCAGCTCTTCTTGGCGCTCGGTCTCCCAGTGCTCAATGTAGGGGTTCTTGCGCACGCGCAGGGGGCGGCCCGTGAAGATGAGCGTGCGAATGGTGTCGTCGAAGCCGGCGGTGCGGACAGCCTCCTTGTGCGACTCGGGAGCACCGGCCTCGTCCGTCAGGATGAAGCGGGTGCCGACCCAGACGGCAGACGCGCCCATCATCAGGGCAGCGGCCACGGTCTGGCCGTTGTAGATGCCGCCAGCAGCGATGGTCTGCACAGGAAGGCCGGTCAGGGGCGACTTGTGGCCCTTGCAGAGGCGCACGACCTCGGGAATCAGAATGGTGGTGGCGGTGTCACCGGTGTGACCACCGCCCTCACCGCCCTGGGCGCAGATGATGTCGACACCAAGGTCCAGGCACTTCTTGACGTGCTTGGGGTGGCCGATCATGTTCATGTACAGGATGCCGTGCTTGTGCAGGCGCTCGACAACGTGCTTGGGGGGCACACCGACGGCGGAGACAAACAGCTTGGCGCCGGACTCGATGACAACGTCAATCAGCTCGTCGAGCTTGCCCTTGGTGTAGTCGTAGTTGGTTTTCCGGGCGTTGCCGCCAACCTGAGGAAGCAGCAGGTCGACGCCGAACGGCGCCTTCTTGTCCTTCAAGTGCTCCTTGAGCTCGTTAATCTGGTCGCGCAGCATGTCGGGCGTGTAGTTGACACCACCAATGACACCGAGACCGCCGGCGTTGGTGACGGCAGCAGCGAGCTGAGGGCCAGCCGCCACGTTCATGCCAGCCAGCAGAACGGGGTGGTTGATCTTGAACAGATCCGTGATGGGGGTGCGGATTTTCTCTGTAGGCAACAATCCGCGGTCAGCACCAAGGTCAAGTAAAGGAGATGAAGCATGCGTATGCGTTTGCCATTTCCTCTGGCGGCCGAATTTGCAAAAGCGCTGTCGAGGCGGCGTTGGGGAAGAAGTAAGAATACTCACGAGGAGAAGCCATTTTGACGGTATGGAGAATGGTGAGGAGGAAAAAAAAAGAAGAAGGTATCACAGGAAAGGTATCACAGCACAGAAAGTGTGCAATGTTGCTGGACAAGAGGAAGAAAGGAACAGGGGAAGATGCAAGAGAAGAATGAGAAGATTGAAGAATGGAGAGAAGAAAGAGAAAACAGAAGCCACGAAGGAGAGGCGGAAGTAAAGGTTAAGAAAGAACTCGCGGAGTAATAATGGAGGAAAGACACCAGCCTACCGCCCCCGCAGGCGCCGCCCCGGCTTCTTCTGCGCGGCCACATGCTGGCGAGAGCCGAGGTCGCGCAAATATGCACTGCAGTAATGTGGTTGCGTGGTGGTGCCTACGCGCTAACCAAGCCTAAGCCTGGGTGTTAATAGTCCGCTGCGGGTAGGTCGGTCATCGTCGCGGGACAACCACCGACCAGCGAAGAAACAGAAAGAACGACGCTACGCATTTGGGGCCAAACCGCTTGTCTGGGCAACAGTCTGGGGGAAAGAACGATGGGGAACCGTGAGGAGGGGCATGCACGATGGCAGGGGAGGTGGCGTTGGAATGCTTGGAACAGGGCCCCAGAAATCGGGTATGGCTCCGGAAATAGCTAGAGTACTTCGGAATCGTTAGCGGACGCACTGCAGGTTTTTGTACTCCAGGACGAAAGTGTGCCGAGGCACACTTTTTGGGGATGCTCGTTTGACCTTCCCCATAGGAAGGCACGACGGATGTGGAGGCAACTAGGTTTGGGTATGGAAACTGCGACGCTTTCGCACGCGACATGCGACTTCTGAAAGAAGAAGGAGGCCACTACCAAAGTGGGATTCAACAGGTGGACACTCTTCTGAGGAGTTCGACGCCTTCGGGAGTGGCACCAGAGATCATTAATCAACCATCTCACATCGTTCCTTCCGCTACGAGCAAGAGGGCCGTGGGCGAAGGAAAGTGGTATCAACCACATCATGTGATGGCTCGACGTTAAAGGGAAGGACCGGCCGAGTCCTCTCCGTATGTGTCTCTCGTATCCGTTGTTTTGAATTGCTTCAATCCCCTTTTTTACACCACCAGGTTCACGCCGCCCTCCAAGCACGTCCTGGCACTGGTGCACATCCCGTTCGCAAATGGTCAGTCGACCGCCTTGGCACCGACTCTCCGGATCCGAACATTGTGGCAGCCATGTGCGGGTTCTAGCCGACAAAGACAGTTCTGAGACCGTTGCACCGGCCAGTATCGTTGCTGTTTCAGTTTGCCGCGTATCGACGAACCGTGCAACTATCGCATCCTCGCGTCTCTGTCGACGAGCATGACACTGGTACAGTATGCGCTCTATCGCGGCACAGTATAAGGCCCGACAGATGCTGGTACTTTAGTGACCGTACAACTCGCTAAGATGTATTCGCACTGGTCTCCAGCTGGCCAATCATGTCTCACTGTTCGCTCACTGAGTAGAATTTCATTTTTCTCTCATCCGCTTTCGACATTCCCAGTGTGAGAAATCACTAAGTCCCTCACCTCGCAATCTGATTATCTTTAGGCGACGAGGCGCGTGCCGTGACTGACAGACGAGACTCTCGTGTTTACGAAAGAAAGGGGGCACAAATCCAAAATACAGGTCACAGAGCCATGAAAGCCATCATCACCTGGATCCCGTCTCATCTCACAAAATCAGGCTCCACCATTGGCCGTCGCTTATTTTCCGCGGAATATCAGGTTGCCAGAACCGGTAGACGTTCGCTGGTGACAGTCGATCGCCCACCGCATATTCCTCTTTCACAGGAAAGGGGACCTACGTCGAAATCTTCGCTTGGGCGCGTTTTCACCAACGGCATCTCATACAGAGCCATGTCATCTTCGGCGCAGGCAACGCCATACAGCCAGTCGGCGGGAGCCCCGGCGAGCAGCAAGAAGAAGAGAGCATACATTGCTTTGGGCGGAAATCTGGGCGACCGCATTGGCTGGATTGAAAAGGCATGCCGCGAAATGGACAGTCGGGGCATCCGGGTGCTGCGGACAAGCAGTCTCTGGGAGACGGAGCCCATGTACGTGCTCGAACAGGACAAGTTTGCCAACGGTGTGTGCGAGGTGGAAACTGAGCTGGAACCGCTGGCGCTGCTGGATCAGCTTCAGGACATTGAGCGGACGCTTGGGCGCAAGAAGTTGATCGACAAGGGCCCGCGCAACATCGACCTTGATATTTTGCTGTACGGCAATGAGACTGTCCAGCACGAGCGGCTCATCATCCCCCATATCGGCATACCGGAGCGGGAATTTGTTTTGCGGCCACTTGCACAGTACGTACCTGTCTCCTTTACGTTGTGAAAATACCGATTCCGGACAGGGGTGTGGCACCGCAGCTAACCTAGTCAGACTGGCACCCAACATCCCATTGAACCCGGCGCGCCCCTGGAAGCTTGTTCAGGACTACCTCAACGAGCTGCCGCCACAGGCCGAGCCACTGACTCCTTTGACACCCTTTGGCCGGTCCCATGCGCCACTACAGGCCCTGCGTGCCAACCGCCGCACAATCGTTATGGCCATCCTGAACGTCACGCCCGATTCATTTTCTGACGGTGGAAAGCACTCGGCTGCCGATACGGAATCGCTCGCCGCACTGGCTGAGACGGTGAAAGGATTCGTTGCAGCGGGCGCTACGGTGATTGACATTGGCGGCCAGTCGACGGCACCGGGCCGGCCGCAGGTGTCGGCAGATGAGGAGTTGGCGCGCGTGGTGCCGGCGATCCAGATGATCCGTGCTGACCCTGCGTACGACGCCATTGCTATCAGCGTGGACACATACCGGGCGTCAGTGGCCGAGGCTGCGGTGAAGGCAGGCGCTGATATGATCAACGATGTGTCGGCTGGCGATATGGACGCGGATATGCTGCCTACGGTAGCACGGCTTGGTGCCACAGTGTGCCTAATGCACATGCGTGGCACGCCGGAAACGATGAGCAAGCTGAACAAGTATGGTACCGCTGAGGGTTCGCCAGACAGTCAGGAAGGACAGGCTGCGACGACCAGTACCGGCAGTGTGCCGATCATCGAGGCAGTGGCACGCGAACTACTGGTGCGTATTGAGGCGGCCGAGGCGGCCGGCATCCGCCGGTGGCGCATCGTGTTGGACCCGGGCCTGGGCTTTGCCAAGGTGGGCGACCAGAATATTGACGTGCTGCGGCACCTATCGGAGCTGCGCGAATGGGCCGGCCTGGAGGGCCTACCGTGGCTGGTGGGCTCGAGCCGCAAGAGTTTTATCGGGCGCACGACAGGCGTGGCCACGCCGGCGGAGCGCGTCTGGGGTACGGCGGCAACGGTGGCAGCAGCAGTGCAAGGCGGTGCGGACATTGTGCGAGTGCACGACGTGAGGGAGATGGCACAGGTTGTTGCGATGGCTGATGCCATATGGCGGTACTAGCCATGGGTGGCGAAAGCGAGCGAAAGGGCGGAAGGGGGGGGGGGAGGGGGTGTAAAACTCGCACGTCAGCGAAAAGGCCCAACTCGGGCACAGTTTGAAAATTGAAGAACCGCATATTTAGACAACCCACCATAGAGATAGAGGCTACGGGCACGAGTTTCCGGTCAAGCGTTTTGCATTAATTTTTGTTGATCTGAGAGTCGCCGGCATCCTTCCTCATTTGCCGATGATAACGACCATACCGAGCCGTAAACACCATACGTCGTATGTGACACGAACGGGAGTTGCCGCTCGCGGATATGACGGGCGAGGTCTCGGAGCCGGCGGTAGTTGCTACGAAGCTGAGATGCGAGATGGTGTGCATCGACAGAAGGCAGACGAAACTCTGGCTCACCGGCACAATGTAGGTTGAGCGAATATTTAAGGTGCCGAAATGTGGCCAGGGAAACGCCCGGGTCTCCAAGCACCGATGATGAAGCAGATCAACATGCTCTGCTGAAAAGTCGTTAACATTGACTTGGTCAGTAACATTGCGTGGTGAAGCAATGAAGGTTATGCATGAGCCTAACAACCGAGCGCTAAAGGCGGTCCGCACCGCCCGCGCCTGCCTCCCCGGTGAAGCCAAAGCTCTTTCAAAGCGGAAGGAAAAAGATAACAATTTTATGAGCAACGCAAAGCACCTTCTAGTCGTACGATGACGGGTAACATTTCCCAAGTGTTGTAAACGCGTCTTTCCCACCCATTACTCTCTCCGTGCCGACCATCTCAGCGTCAGAGCGTGTCATGACGTGCTGGTGTCTCAGGAGCCAGAGCTAGATATCAACAGGGAGGAAAGAAATGGGCTCATACGGGCAAGGCGAGATATATCTGTCCTACCACCAGTCTCGTATTGTCCCATGCTCACAGCCTGCCGTGCATTGTCACTTGATTGTCAAGTCCACGTGGGATTGTGGGGTGCTGGAAGTCTCTACCAGTATCTTGTGCAACATTGAAGCCAACAATTTTTCATGGCCAATGTAGTTAGAATGCAAAGATCATTGTCTCGCAAAATGCTCTCGATATCGAAACGAATCAGCTCGTGGTCAGTACTTTAGTAAGTTTATGCCTCGCATTTCGCACTCGCTTTTTGGGACTTATTGGGGAAAGTGGAGTCCATGCGAAGTTGGAGCCGTGTGGGGTCTGATTGTGACCAGTTATGTTCGGTACTCATTGACAAACTGCATAGAAAGCATGTCGTTTCAGTACAGAATATGCTCCCCCTTGATGATAGAGCTGTTTATGTTTAGGCAGCTAGCTTCTGCACTCCGAGGCTGGGCCGAAACAACGAAACGAGAAGCACGCAGCAGTATACGTTGTAAGTCGTACGACGTCGTACATTCAAATGGAGACGAGGTAGGAACATAAAAAGAGAGCACGAAACACCACACGAACTGGCGTTTAATGAGGGTTCAATTGAGCATTTCGGATATGCAGGGACTGTAACTGGCGACAGTGCCGATAATTCATGTAGCTGGCCTGCTAGCCCAGGCCTAGTTTCCGGAGCTCTTTGCTTGGCAATGGCCAAACCAGGTTGCTTGTGAGGCTC